CATCATCTCAATCGATTAGTTTTCGCTTGATGACGTGTTCCAAAATACTTTGCGCTTAAATATGGTCCATATTTTGTGAATAATCAATATCGGAAGTCGTTTATTACAAATGTCGATTTTCATAATTCGGTTTCACTCCACAGATTTTCGCAGTGCAGATCTTCCTTATCCTATTGTGTTTCCATTTGTGGTTTAGTAGAATAGAGCTGATAAAAAGGTAGACAGTGACCGTGCTATGCATGTTTCCTATACACGGTCATCTTTGTTATGGTAACTTCAAACAACTGCAAGTAACTCCGTGTCCTGTGGAAAGTTTCATGTTGAGTGGACTTGAGTTAAAGTGGGTGATCCCGCCCCATTTGCCTTATTTCATTTTGACGTTTGGTCACGAAAATTCATGCTAAGTCCGGGGAGAGTGAGCCCGATATGACTACTTATTCAACTCGTCAAAAATACTTTAATTATAAATTTAAGTAGCATTTTATATAGCTTAGCATGAGTTTTCCTTCCATTCATCTGATGAGATATGACTCAATCAACCCGTTTGGGGTTTTCGACTTGACACCGCCACCCAACTTTGGTGGCAGGCAGGTTTTCTGTCATCCGGTTCAATGCCATGCGTAACCTAGCGGGGCTTCAGGTGGTCCGCCACGCCAAGTCCCGAGATATAGGTTGCCTATTTCCATCAATGAACAGCAGGTGTTCGTGAATATGGAGTCCGGCCCGTCGGTTGTTCATCACACAAATGTGTCATTAAAAATCAGTCACCAAGCATTCTTTTTCCTTAAAAAAGCGACACATCACAACATATTAGAGTTGTAAATTCGGATAAGCATCAAGTTTCGCAGATAAAAGAAGCTGAAAATCTCAGTAGCATTACGTCTCATCTCGGTTCGGTATCTATTGCAGTAGCAGTAGAATGCATCCATCTATCTTACCCAAGATAGAACTGTTTCAGAAACAGTCACAGACCTCGGTTTTTAAATTTAAAGGAGAATCTATGAGCTTTAGTGGAAACGGGTGACGGATGTGCGTTATACTGTCGCACGTGCAAATATCAGTGTTGTGAGATGCTACTTATATCTATCAGTGGTATGTTAGGGATGCGCAAAAGATGTAGGTATTAATTTTCCCGCATGCTTGTTGAAATAGTGATCGGTCTGTATCAAATGAAACATTTAGGTTTGTGTAAGCCCCTTTTTACCAATACCCAAAACTTAGTCCCGTTTAAGTCGTTTTGAGTCCCGGTTTTGTTATCGTTGCTGCGTAATGCCAGGCCTTTTCATTGAAATTTGTCTGGCTAAACAACTTCCGTGCGATTCATTTTGACCGATTTTCCAACGTCATCATGGCGTTCCGCGTATGGATGCACTGTTGCGGCTTCTGAGAGCGTCGCTCGTTTTAACTGTATTTCTATAGGGAATGTGTTGACGACTTTCGGGGCCCGCTTTTGCTGCAATATACCAAGAGAATTTTGAATTGCGCATACACATGCATCTATTTGATGCCCTCTTATTACCAATTTCAGCACTTTTTTAAGATAAAGAATCTTCTATTGCTGAAGTCTCGTGGGGCCGTAAGAGAATGAAATCACTTTACTGAGTTCTGAGGTCATCTTCTGAGGATTACTTTGTTAGTTATTTTCCAGAATGTTCGAAACGCGTGTTTGGTTCAGGTTATCTTCCAATATGTGGGACAGCTAGAACATTGTTCCTGATAACAGCTCCTCAAGGTCTATCTCAGAAACCGAATCCGATCGATAAGTTGTTGACATTGACCAAACAACTTGGATGAATATTGTTAAAGTGATATGTACATTGAAGACGCTCCTGGAGAAGACAGCATCAGCGGCAAGAATTAAAAATTAGTCTTCGGATTGAGCTGGGGCTGTTACATGCCTTATTTTTTCTTTCTAGGAAACGAAAAACTACCAAGGGATTTATTCACACCCATCCTACTTCCTTTGCTCAAGAAGAGTGAGGCATTAGCCTTATTAGTGTGACCGTTAGGATTTTCTGGGTGATTTTCCTCAATCACTTTGCTGCAATTACGAATAGCCACCTATGATACAACCAAGGTGTTTTGCCAAGGAATTAGGTTTTACTAAGTTTTACTATCGGCAATTAAACAATGCTAACGCTTATCACGCATCAGAGGAATTTTACAGAATGTTTTAGACAATTTACAAATAGCGAATAATGGCAATATACATTATTACCCACGTATGTTGAAAGGACAAGTCTTCTATTGCTATATCCAGGTACGATTTGAATCATTCATCTGCAGGAGCACACACAACATAGAATGAAGAGAATTCCATACAGCACACATTGACTGGCTGATGCCGGCATGCAAGGTGACTCTTCCGGGTCCTCTAGTTCAACGGATGCCCTATGAGATGAGTATTTTGAGAGAAATTCAACACAAAGCGGCAAGGGTGGTTGGGTGGATACACTGTGTAGTAAGTCAAGATTAAGTACCGACTCCCTCTGAAGTTCACGGTATTGAGACGAGTAAACTCAGAATATTTGCAGTTGGCTGGTATATGTCTTGTTATCCAAGATGCGTAAATCTAATTTATAACCTCCTGAGGACCTTAAAGCATAGCCACATAATTCAACCTCCTGAAATAGCTTTTTTGTATTGTTTTCCGGTCTGGATTCCACTCAGAAGAAAGAGAGACGTTTTGGAAACGCAGA